TATTTTCGTTATATTGCAGAAACATTCGAATTTACCATATTTCAAACAACTATTACCAAAATATATTTGTAGTCTGGGAATGATGCACGTTTTGTCAGTCAGTGACGTCATAGTCTCAAATTGGGTGCAAGTACCAGTCAAACTGCCGATAAAGTGTATGATATTGAGGGGATGATATTGAAAATATCACATGGCTTAATCACGTGTTTTTTGCGTGATACATTCGAGAACTAGCCATATCACGCAACTTGCGTTCTCATGATGCTTTAAATCACTGTCCCTTGTAACATGAAGATAGTACGACATTTTTCAAACATCGGGATATTGTCCTGATGCCTCGTGTTGTCAGTTACCTATACACTGGCTAATTTAATGTGTACTAGATAAGGTCAACTTCCTCCATCAACAAATCATTCTCTAATTTCCAACATCTGTTGACACTGACAACTCAAAAACACCTGCTTTGCCGGACTGCACTGCTTAAAATAACTCCCCCATTTCAAAAACACATTGAAACTAATTCAGGTCAGATGCTTTTAAGTTTGCAGCGGGGAATTGGCCGACAACTCTATGGTTTGTCTTTCATTAATATGATAAATCACCAGCTGCAACGAGATCGCTGATTGGCTACTCGCTCTGTTAATCACTTGGCCCAGCAGAATTAAAAATAACAGAAATGTGAAAATATTAACCGATTTCCAACGAAACCGACAAAAAATGTAAGTTTTCGGATATGAATGGTGAATATCGTTGATGCCAAACTGAAAAACGAATGAGCAGTAACGGGCGAAATGTTCAGACTTTTAGCGAACATGGGAACACATGCAGTTAGTTTGTTTAAAATGTTGTCCTGCCCACTGCAGTTGTATTCGCCGCACCACCACCATCACGCTCTGACGGGTCGTACTACTTTCAAATACTGATAATAGTGGTAACAATGATCCCTGGTTTGTATAACATTAATTCAGACCTACCTCGTTGGCTAGATGTACTTTAAACTATTGACGACATTATATGCGTTGTTAGCTTTATACTAAAAATACGTACTAGGCCGATGATGCTCTACACACACGTTTTGGAAATAAAATAAATTCCTTGAAGTTAAGTGTCCTTCATCTCTGGCCCATGATGTATATCTGATAGGAAATTGCCATCCCAGAGTGATTGATGAACATACTGTCGTTATTGAATATGAAACTCAACAATAATTACGAATTTGTATGTTTCATTGTGATTTTATCTCTATTCACTCATTAAACCAGTCATCCATTCTATGTGCACACTAGTACCTTTCAATTCATTCACAATGGCCTTGCCAATAAAAGTACTATCCGCTTGATCACGAGTCACGGCGTTTATCGGTACAGGAGTTTAGAACACGTGACATGATAGAGGCGGCGGCACCAAATTCTGCATTGGGGACGAGAGCTGCTCAATTTTGAAATTTAGACCCCCCTGAAACGCTATTTCCCGCATTTTGAGAGGCAAAGTTTGCTGCTGACATACAAGGGTTGGTTTCAGCATCAGCATTTTTTCAGGGGGCGACCCCCCCGGTGCCATCCCCACTGCATGAGACCAACCCCCACCACCACCAATGGCCACACACAATCAATATAAGTCTAAAATACGCAATATCGAACACGGCGAGGAGAGGCACGAAACAATTGGCAGAAAATTGGAGTTTATAAACGGCAAGCAAGGGTATTTGGTAGCAGGTATAACTGAGACATTTCTGGATAAAATTAACATTTTAGTGGAATATAATAATCAAGCGTAAGAGATAACCGCCCAGGGTCTTATATCCGCTAACAAATACCGGAACAAGCTCGCACACAAGTAATACACTACATAATCACTGTTTATATCGCGTTATGTTGGATACTGCTAGTAGAAGGGGTGACCCCGTGGGGGGGGGGGTTACTCACATTGAAGTTCTATATGTATATCATGATGTGCCGCCAAAAGGGGTCCCAAATTCACCACTTCTGTCTGAAAAGGGGTATGTTATTTTACCCTGTCTTTCTGAAAAGGGGTATCCTTTTTTCATTATTTCTGTCTAAAAAGGAGTCCATATTTTCCAAAGACTATCTAGAGCTTGAGTGATCCAACAATCAGGAGAATGAAGTTGTGTTTTTTTTTTCTTTCTGTAACTTATTTCGATCGTCAAAGTTCATCCCCTGCAGTTTACCAGCTTGTCCTTGTCTGCAAAGAGGTGTTACATATCCACGGTTTGTCTGCAAAGAGGTAGGCAACTTGACTTTATTTCTGTCTGATGAGGGTTAGGGGTTTCAAACAACCAGCTACACACCCATGTTAGTATTTTTTGAAAGTTACCCCCCCCGGGGGGAGGTGACGAAGAGCCATCTAATAGAAGTGTGATAATTCTGAAAACATAATACCCTGATTTTCAATATAATAGCGTTATATAATTATTTCCACGTGGATTTTTGGTTTTATTTGTCTAAACTTCCATTCTAATTCATTTTGAGGTTAGAATTTGTAGTGCGCGTTCTAGGTTGCGAATTTAAATTCAAGGCCAGCTTGAAAACGCGCTCCATAAATAACATATGCATAGATGGGCGAGGCGAACTCGTGGTAATACGACACTATTTCCGCTGAAGAACGAAGCAAAAAATACAAAGCTTTTAGTTGTGATTTTTTGCACTTACATCAATTTACGAAATATAAGACAAACTACACCAATGAGTGACAGAGACGGACGCGTCGATGACGTCAACGTGTTCGATTCCAACTCTATGCTGCAATGAACGCACTCGTTCCTCACAGGGACTTTTCTCGCAAAATGCGCAATATACTACCATTATTGTCAATAATATTTCGTATTGGTACTTGTACCAGGTTTCCATGTATTGCTCAGTTGATCATACATCCCAATCGATATGAACAGTGCTCACAGCAGTTCTGCAATCTTGATTTAGTTGAATATTTAAAGGACGCTGGTCGTCGCGCCGCGTCCTGTTTTATATCGGACTCACAGAGACGTACACAACGCGTATAAAATACGAACACAAGCTGCGCGACGACCACCGCCCTTTAAGTCAGTTTATTTGGTTTCGAGTGGGATCACAGGTTTTCTACTGCTAGATATAAGACCTTGCTTCAGCCAATCAGATTGCCAGACGACAGTCGTCGCTATGCGCCGTTTTAGAAAATCAACCTACGCGACGTATATAACGCACGTAAAATACATTGTTTACGCAAAATTCGACGACTATTGCCATTCAGCTTACTTCTAGTCACGAATTGCTGATACTTTCACAGACGTAACTAATTCATCAAACAACGGTCTATATTGTAGAATTTGAAGCGGGACAGTCCTTAAAGCTGGGGAGTCGTCACCTGCGCATGCGTCAGTTGGCCATAGCGTGTCATTGTTTACAAACAAGCCTCTGCCAATGAGTCTTTGCGTTATTAGCATGTGTTGTTATCGTCGCTTGGGACTGAATTCCCGCGCGTGCGCAGGTGACGACCCTCCCGTCTTAAAGATGTAATGTAGATACAAACATGTAATGATTTAGTACTGAATACATTGTAATACACATCTAGTATTCGTTCGACGGTACTACACATGCGCAGTACTATTTTTTCATGTTTCAACGAGCGAGTACCATAAGGCATGCTGCAAAAGATACATTTTTACGATAAATCATAATTAATAAATCATAATTAAACAACAAACACAAGGTTATCAAGCTTTTCTCATGCATGCCTAGTATTCAAGCTTGGTTTTACATCAAACATGCCGGGTTACAGGTGCACGTCACTATGTTAGAAGATTTCTTTCAAAATGGCCGACTGAGATTTGTTTCATAATGCCCGACTGGCGACAATTCTTTTCTTGTGTGCCTGAGCATTTCCTAGGACATGCTTTAATCGAATATTTTCCTGCTCTTCATTTTGTTGACTTTTGACCGATTAGCGACTAATTTGCCCCAAAATACTAAAAACAACATTCAACAAGTCATCAATCAAAAGCAAACATATTCCCTATACATGCTATGTTGTTTTGTGTAAATGACACCCCTTTTTTGTCCACAAATGTCAATTCCCCAAAAGTATTAATGAAACTGACCATAAAAGTGATATTGTACCTGAAATGTGAGTAAATAACAATGGATTCCTAACGAAATTCGTCCAAAATTATCAATTTAATAGGCAGAAAAGAAATGATTTATGAGCTTTGTAAAATATCTAAATTACGTAACAATTTTGAAGAAACACATTGGATAATTATTACCAAATTATTTAACAGGTCGAGGGCCCGCGATTAAATTTTATTCCGAAGATATACGGACGTATACGAAGTGTCGCCTGTTTACCCTTGTATCATGGAAGGTCCGTTAGTACCTTCCATGATTGTATAAGGCCCACCGTGACGTCATTGCGGTTATGTAATTTTCATACAAAGACCGTAATCGACCGTTCCGTGGATACATTTGTACTCACTGTCGTTGGAGTTCATTCACCGTAGGCAATTCATTTCGACAAACCTTTGGTTCCCAACGCCCATGGGTTAGCCATACATACTGGGTTTGTAACGGACCAAGCCAGGCGATGAAAGGCGTTGTCGTAGCAACTAACCATAACAATGGGAAAATCGCGGGTGTTGCAGGAAAGGCCAAAACGTATGAAAACGGAAAGGCCACTCGGCGCATAATCGTCTTTCAAACAGGTTGTTAAATGTCTTTATTTGCGTGCTAACTCGGGGTTACAACAAATTCATGTGTGTGTACGCGAAAGCCAACAGCCCGTAGGCAACGCTGAGTTAATAATCTACACACAAACATCGAACATTGCCAAAAATAGGCAATATGACGTCATCTAGTCACATAGCTACAGTCAAAATAAAAAAAACAGCGTTATAATGAAATTAGTTTATGGGTGACACTGGGTCAAATAAAGCAAAGTTGCAATATGGGGGTTGCTAGCGTGGAAACGTTCCCGCGACCAATAGTGCAATACAATATATAGTAACAATATTACATTTCTTGTAACGCCGGTACTTGTACAGGGGGTCGCGAGTTCTCTACTACTGAAGGCACTTGAAACAAAATAGGTGTTCTGTTGACATCGGGGGGAGTTGACACTGATCGATAGCACAGTTCCTGTTGGTATAGATTGAACAGTTTTCTTAAATCGTCTGCCATTGTGTGTCCCTTTTCACCTTTGGTCATATATCTAGAACCCATAAGTACGTGCGTCGGTATAGAGCTGTTTGTCGTTGACGACGGCGGTCGGAAATTTCGACGGCTGACTCCGCGGCTAATGAGGCCATTGCGTTGTCGCTCTTCTAAACTCCCCATTAACATGCTGAGCGAAGTCTGTTGGCGCCGTAATTCGGTCAACCCACCGCTCGGTTTAGGCGACGAGCATAAACTGATCGGCGGCAAAGAAGCACTGTCAAAATCCCGGGCAGTGCGCGGTGAACTTTGCGGGGAACTGTGCATCAATGGAGTCACCGTGCATTCCCATGCTGATCTGGATCGGGGATATAAACGCATTCCGTCCCGATTTCTCATCTTTTCGGTGAGTTGTTCGTGACTGTATTTGGCCCATTCGCCGGCGTTCATGAAGCACTCGTTGTCGCGAGAACTGAGCGAAGCATTTCCTTCGTTTAACAAGACTCGTGCACATTCGTAATTACCGTGTTTCGTAGCCAGCAGAAGAGCGGTGTAGCCTTGTTTGTTTCGCATATCAACAGGCATGCCGAATCGGGTCAGTTCTTCCACAAGAATTTTAACAATTTCCAGTTGTCCACTTATAGCTGCATGATTAAGCGGCGTGTCACCGTTTTCATCGGTGAAGTTTAGTTCTAGTATCTCCTCTTTAAGTAACCGCTTCAACATTCGGACCCTTCCGTAAAGGCAGGCGTAGTTCAGAACACTTCGTCCATGGTTGTCTCTGACGTTGGTATAGGCACCGGCACGTAAAAGAATCATAAACATTTTAAACGCGTATTCCTGGTTGTTGATGACAGTGCAGAGCATGAGAGGGGTCCTTCCATCTCGGTCTCTTTTCTCTATGTTCGCACCTAATGACACCAACAGTCGCGTTTGATGTAGACGCTCGTTCAAGATGGCTTTGTGTAACACCGTACTCATGTCGTCCCCCTTCATATAGAATTCCACCTGTTAGCGACATAAAACACAAACAAGTCAAGAAAAATACCACTGTGTAGGGTTGGTGTAAGTTTCCCCACGAATACGTATCAGGTTCTTGATTAGTACACAGTGTTGTTGCCTCGCCTCTGTCGACAGGGCACACAGGTCAAAGGAACGCAACTCACAACTGACTAATTCGTGAAAAAAACGATTGGTTGCTCTTCTAAATGTTTACCCAGCGTTCGGGGGGTGTAAACAAAGCCCATTCGATTGAATATAATCTGACCTCCGACCCCACGGCAATTTATACCTCGCGCTGTAGAAAGAAATATGCGCTCTTTGTTGCCTCGTACCAAACTTGTTAGATGTAGCCTCGTACTCGTCGCGCGACTTGAACATTCAAATGGGAGTTGCCACTTATTGCTCGTCCAATGTTCCAATCATTGTCCCATCAGGTTTTCTTCGTCCATTGTTTGGGCCCGTTCGATTTTTTTTTATATATCCAGTGTATGTCATAAACACTGCGTGACAATTGTGACATTTCTAAATAAGTTGCGACCGATCAATAAAAAAGGTGATTTGGGGTCAACACAACTATCGCGGAGCCCCGGTCTTTAAACGGAGGATTTATTCGCTGTTAACCTAAAGACTACAACAATATAATGTGCTATTGTTATTGGATGTTGTTTCTTATTTGTTGCCGTTAAATTATATTAAAGGTGACTTGTGTTAGATACATCCGCATAGTGACTGGCAAAGTTATGTACCACGGTGATTAGGAGGCTGTTCTCGTTGTAGATTTTAAATACACATTAAAAGTCAAAGAATGTATAAAGAAATGTCAGTTACCCCTGGCTATAAGTGAGAGAATGTTTTTCTACTCAATAAAACAAATCAATTGTCTGGTATAAATGAGCGCAGTGGAAATACCTCGACTGTTGTTCTTGTTTGGTATTATTGGTATATATATATTTTTTTACCGAGTGGGAGAAATGAAACATACTAGGAAAATCGACTCACAATACCAGGCAGCGACGAAATAACGTGCCAAATACAGCGTAAAACCTGTTGTTCAAATGATGACAAGGAGCAGTCAAGCGGCTCTAACCCAATTGTCCCATTCGTCGAGCATTACTATAGACACACACTGACTGTATATATGAACCCACGTCCCGTATTGAAAAGCGGCAGAGATCGTGGACACTGGCAACAAGTTTATTATAAACCACGGATACCTTTATAGTTTGCACACACGAGTAAATGAAGACCGTTTACAAATATTTCGTCTGATGTTCACTACCAATAAACACTGCACAATAACAATGTTGGACATTTTGAGGGCAAGTACGCCTAACATACGGTAGTTGGCAGACATAAACCGAACTGACTTCGGTAGACGATGGGAAGATAGCGTTCACGATGGGGAGCCGGCTATATGACAGCTTTCCATTATAAACAAGTGGTAAACACACCTATTTTTTTGTAAGCTGTTCTGTTTCATGTGGTGTCTGGAATGGTGACCCAGACTCCTTTGTAGAACCGCCATTCATTTCACGGTCTCACTAAGAGTGATATTTCTATACCTATGCTGACATCTCTATTAAGTAAAAACTTGACAAGTTGCACAAGTAACACGTAAACCATTTGAGTCAAAGGTATCACCGTACCGACGTGTGAGTGGAAGCGATAGCGATAGCGATACGACGTACCCCTTCTTCTGTGGTGGCCTCCCAACGG